CACGCGATGCAGCAAGCAGAAGCTGTCAGAATCCCAACCACTAGACCATTGGGATAAAAGGGCTTGTTTTAGTAGCGGGTCAGTGCGCCCATAACCCCCCAGGCAAACGCGCCTGTAACCCCCCTTAGGATCGATCGGGGATCTCACAGTGTAGCTCTACTGACACCCCCCACACTGGGAGGCCCAGGACTGAGCACAGTGGCAATGGCCTACATGTGCATACACCGGGATTCGAACCCGAGACCGCTTTGATACCATGTCAGAATCCCAACCACTAGACCATTGGGATAAAAGGGCTTGTTTTAGTAGCGGGTCAGTGCGCCCATAACCCCCCAGGCAAACGCGCCTGTAACCCCCCTTAGGATCGATCGGGGATCTCACAGTGTAGCTCTACTGACAGAAGCTGCACAGGCACAGGCGACGGCCGCGGCAGCTGCCGAAGCAGCACGAGTAGCTGCGGAATCCGCGGCACACGCAGCTGCGACACATGCAGCAGCGAATCCCTCTACAGTTGGAGGGTCTGGGGAATCGCAAGAAGCATTTCATGCTCAACAGCAACAGTGGTTTCAGCAGCAGCAACAGCTATTTGCGACCACTTTTGAATCCTTCTTGGCAGCACAGAAATTACCACAGTATTCTACATCTACAGGGAGTGTCTCTTCAAATTTCGGGGAGAAAATCCCGGATGTCTTCCTTAATCAACTGGAGCATAACTGCAAGCTTTTTCGTGATAGGACGGTGAAGCAGATGAAGCTTGCAACAAAGGTGAAGCGGCTTAAGCAGATGTTTCATGAGGGAAGACTTCCCAAAGGCTTCAAATCAGCCCCTATGACATACTATGGTAATGATCCGGCAATCAAGATGGAGGGGGATGAGGAGTTCAAGAGGCTGGAACGTGATTATCATAGGACATGTTTCGAAACCCTCATCAAACTCCAGGAGAAGGAGCTGCAGAAGCTGACGGCCAGTTTGGGCACAGCTCAGGAAGAGTTTCGCCAGCAGCTACAGAAGATTCGTGAAATGGGACCTTCAGCCATCTTCACTGAAAGCTTCAGCCACCTGGAACCGAAGCTGCTCACCATGTTCGCGGAACGGATCAAGACCATTACGGTTGAGGAAACCTTCTCCTACATCAATGAGCAAGAAGCAGCACAGCGTGAGACAGAACGCAAAACTTCTGCTAAAACGGCAGCCGAGAATATGGAGGTGGAACCTACAGTGTCTGAGATTGTTAACAAGTCAAACTCTGACCTTGCCAAGCGACTTGAAGCAGTGGAGAAACAGCTATTCAAGAAGCCGGAAGTACAGAAACAGGCACCTCCAAAGGCTCCACAGCAAACACAGCCAACTGAACAGCAAACTCGACAGCAGCAGGCGCCTCGACAGCAGCAACCACAACCGCAACCCACTAACCAGTACTCGACCAAACCTTCACCCGGCGCATAGACTAACCAGTGGCAACCTCCTCCCGGTTATGGGTCTCAGGGACCCCAGGTTCCAGATTCAGGATTTCCAAAAAATGGGGGAGGGAGGGGGAGGGGAGGGAGAGGCAGGGGTTGGGGGAGAGGCTGGGGAAGAGGCGGAGGAAGAGGAGACGGATACGGAGGAGGGGCAATGTTTCAGGGCAGAGGCGTTTAATGGGACAGGAGCTGAGTGAGTTGAGTGAACGGGATCTCCAAATCTTCTATTTTGGGCAAATGACGGAATCTCAGCTCAAAAGAAGGGTTAGGAATCGGAGCATCTTCAACTTGAGTAGCCAAAAACTGACAGCGGTTGAAGAGAAAGCATTAGCGCTGGGGCTGAACTTCATCCCGACACCAACTGCTTCTCAATTCACATCTGATGAAGAGGTACTTTCTGCCTATGATTCTTTTTGCCGCAACTTGAGACTGAGAGAGTTCTTTGGAGATTCGGAGATTCCCAAGAGTTTTAGGATTCCTAACCCATCTTGGGATGTTCCTTTAGACAAAAGGAACATGTTTCTTGAGAGTGTGATGCAGCAACACAGGGAGGAGCTTCAACAAACTTTGTTGAAGATTCCTCCTAGGGCTGGCTCAAACATCTCTCCCATGGTGAGGCGTGCTTTGAGATCCCTTGCTTCCGATGAGTCGATCGTTGTGAAACCTGCTGACAAGAATTTAGGTATCATGGTTATGGATAGAGGCTTTTATCGGCAGCAGGCACTTGCTCACCTTTCTGATGCGGAGGTTTATAGGCAGGTGGACACCGTTCCCTTGTCTGTAATTCTGGAATCTCTCTCTCACATTCGGTTTGAGTTTCTCCCGTGCCTTCCAAGAAAGACATGGGACTTTTTGGAGAATTCTCCAACTCGTGGCTGGCAACCTGCCTTCTTTTACATCCTTTTGAAGATGCACAAGAAAGTGCCTGTTGGAAGACCGATTGCAGCCTCCCATTCATGGATCACTGCCAATGCTTCGAAATGGTTGGATTGTCAACTCCGCCCCTTGGTGTTAAAGCAGAAGACTTACCTTCGGGATAGCCAGAGTCTCCTCCTTCAGCTCGAGCAGCAGCAGGTTCCTTCTTCTGTGATTCTTTGTACGTATGACGTGAGCAGTTTGTATCCATCCATCCCAATCTTTGAGGGAATTGAAGCTGTGGACAGAATTCTCATCAGAGATAGACATCCTCTTAGGCCGTTGATCATTTCTCTTCTTAGATGGGTGATGTGCAATTCTTATGTACAATTTGATGATGTTGTGTATAAACAGGTTAGAGGTACGGCAATGGGAACCTCGGTCGCTCCTGTCTTCGCCATCCTTTATATGAGCTGGCTGGATGAGGAGTTGACGCGGAAGGTGACCATAAAGCCACTTTGCCATGTTAGATACATAGACGATGGGTTCATCCGTTGGGAGAGGAGTGTAGAGACTCTCCAGGGATTCTTAGGAGCCTTCAACTCCCTTCGGCCCACGATCAAGTTGACGTGGGAAATCAGCGAGGAAAGGATTGCCTTCCTCGACCTACAGCTCTACAAGGGGGAACGCTTCCACAAATCCAGAATTCTGGATGTGGCTAGCTTTCAGAAACCGATGAATCAGTATCTGTACATTCCCTTTTCCTCTTTTCACTCGAAGGAGTGTAAGAGAGGATTCATCACAAGTGAGCTGAAACGTCACTGCCTGTGGAACTCATCATTCAAGACCTTTTGGGAGAGGAAAGTCCTCTTTTTTGAGAGGCTGAAGGCCAGAGGGTACCCTGACTAATTCCTCAGGCTCTACTTCGCAGCTGCCAACAACACAAAGAGAGGGAAGTCCCCCAGTCCCTTAAGGTAAGAAGGTGTCCAAGGACTTTGGACTTGGGGATGGGGGGTTTTTTGAGAATTCTCAAAAAACACGCTCTGCAACATATTTCCCTCCCATGTATGTTAGTGTGTTGGCGTTTACCAAAGAGGTTACGCAACCTCTTGGTGAAAGCGAGGTTTCAGAAATGGGGATACACCAACCCCGTGAATTGATGGGATTGAATTCGTCCCACCAACCTGCATGTTTGCTTGACATTGTAAATGTTGTATAGCCAGCTAGCGAGCCGCGATGACGAGCCGCTCTGGATCTCTCGTTTCTTGGTTGAGTGCTGGGCACGGTAGATGAGAGTAGATAAGGAGTAGTTTCTTTCATGTAACTCGGAGAGCGCTGATGAAGGCCACCGGCCGAAACGCGCGTACGCTCAGGTTTGAATGACAATTTCTTACCTATTTATTCTCTGCTAGCCTAAGCTCAGCCTAGAGGAGATTAGGACGAGTTACCTGTTGGATCCAGGTCGAAACTGTTTTTCTGTGGTCCCAATCTAGAGTCTCCTGTGTCTTGGGTCGGCCCTATACCAAATTGTCATTTGCATGAAATTTTTGTTTGAAATATTTTTTTATTGCAAAATCAAAATACTGCATGGTGTACCTCTAGATACAGCAAAACAATACATTACAACTGTACTGCTCCTACACTACACTGATTAAAGGTTACTAAATCCTTCTGCTAAAGCTACTGCTGGCTGCTACTGCCACTGCTATGCTCCTCCGCACCTGTCTCCCTGCTGCTGCTACTTGTTGCTACTGCCACTGCTATGCTCCTCCGCACCTGTCCCCCTGCTGGCCTTGCTGCTCCGCACCTGTTCCCCCTCCTACTGCTACTAGTTGCTACTGCCGCTGCTACGCCCCTCTGCACCTATCTCCTTGCTGCTCCTGCAGGTTTCTAATGCTGCTGCTACTCCCCTCTGCACCTGTCTCCCTACTGCTCCTGCAGGTATCTAATGCTGCTGCTACGCCCCTCTCCACCTGTCTCCTTGCTGCTCCTGCAGGTTGCTAATGCCGCTTCTACGCCCCTCTGCACCTGTCTCCCTGCTGCTCCTGCAGGTTGCTAATGCCGCTGCTACGCCCCTCTGCACCTGTCTCCCTGCTGCTCCTGCAGGTTGCTACTGCCGCTGCTACGCCCCTCCGCACCTGCAGATGGCTACTGCCTTTGCTATGCCCCTCGTTTTCCTGTCATCCTGCTGTTCTTGCAGATTGCTGCTGCCACTAATGTGCCCTTCCGCACATGTCCCCCTGCTGCTGTCTTAGATTGCTGCATCCACCTCTATGCCCCTCGTTTTTCCGTCCCGTTGCTGTTCCTGCTGATTGCTACTTCCACTGATGCGCCCTTCTGCACTTGTCCCCCTGCTGCTGTTGCAAATTGCTGCATCCACTGATATGCCCCTCGTTTTCTGTCCTCCTGCTCCTGCAGATTTTTTTCAGCCACTGAAATGCCCCTCTGCACCGTTCCCCCTGCTCGTGCTGCAGATTGCTACTGCCTCTGCGTAGCCCCTCTGCACCTGTCCACCTGCTGATGTTGCATATTGCTACTGCCACTGCGAAGCCCCTCCGCACCGATCCCCCTGCTGCTGCTGCAGATTGCTACTGCCACTACTAAGCCCCTCCGCACATGTCCCCCTAGTGCTGCTGTAGATCTCTGTGATCACGGGTTGGGGGTGACAACCCGGGCTGGTGCAGGTCATGCTGCCTGCGCAAAGAGGCATGGGGGACGGAAGGAAGGGGACAGTAAAGACGGGAGGAAGGGGACGGAAGAGATGGAAGGAAGGGGAAGGGGACGGAAGAGATGGGAGGAAGGGGAAGGGGACGAAAGATATGGTGAGTGATGCAACAAAGCTGGTGCCACAGCACGGCGTTGGTGCCACATGAGCATTGTGTTGGAGCCATCTCAGCAAGGTTGTGGTCCTATGGATGACTTACCTGCACCCTGCTGACAAGGGTCTCCATGTCAGACGCGTCGATGTAGACGCCGTTGGGGAAGTTGATTGTGTTCGTGTTGCTGTCGTATGGGACACCATGGTCCATGACAGCGATCTCGACCTCCTGCTTCACACGGGTGCACATCTCCCTGTACTGTATCCGATTGTACTCCCACTTGCCGCTCAACTTCCCATCGGGCGCATTGTTAAGGATTGGCCACTCAAACTGTAGGAATATGGTGGGGATGAGGTGGGGATGTAGTGGAATAGATGAACAGACAAGGGTTAACACATGAAAACACTAGGTGGCTCACCGCCTACGTGGCATCAAACATAGCAACATGTCCATAAACTCACTGCATATAAGATCCAGCCCCGCTGGCGGGTCTTAATCTTCTCGGTATTGACCCCACGGTGCGCCAAAGCCAACTTGATGGACACCGAGAAGATGAGGCTGCCGAACAGGATGAGGAGCTCACGGTGCCAAGCCAGTCCCCTCTCCCATGTAATGGGATTGTGTGGTGATAGGAAACAAAGGGATGAAAATTGCTGACTCTATGGTGAATAGGGGGCAACCGAAAGTGGAAAGGAGGAACGAAATCATACATATACATATGACTGCAACACACATAACAACAACTATGGGATCAAAGGCTGCATACAAACTCACCATCCTTGTAACGCTCAATGAGTTCCTCATCAGTGTAGAACTCGAGTGGTGCAAGTAGATCTGCTGGTAACCTCCCGATGTAACACCTGTTCGCCTGTCGACCCAACGCCGTGAGCGCCACCTTTCGCATCCAGCTGTTGATAGTAGTCCTAGTTGAAGACAGCTGCTTAAAAAAAACCCCTCTGGTGCTGGCATCATTGTGCTGAAAGAGCACACGCAACGAGGCAAGAACCTGCGGCGACACAAACTCACTAAACCCGTGATCTAAGGCCTCCTCCGCAGATGGGTAGAACTGAATCATTGAGGCTTCAATGTTGAAGCAAAGATGTGTTGCTACATACCTAGCAAGTTCCTGCAGAGTGGAGGGGGATGGGTGGCAGATATGCAAACAAGAGGTAAGGGTTTGCAAGAGGGGTTTAGTGTTTAGGGTAAGGTGGGCAGATAGTTGGAGCATGCGTCTAGGTTTAGGGAAAGCTTCAGCTCCCTAGATTTGGATGGGGGAGCAAGTGGGGTTTAGAGTTGATGGTAGAAGGGACAGACTGTTGGAGCATGAGTCAAGGTTTAGAAGCTCCATCTCCCAGTTCCTGGCTGGGTAAGCAAGAGAAGTTTAGGGTTGAGGAGAGAGGGGGCAGATTGACAAAGCATAAGTCATGGTTTAGGGTTGATGGTAGTGGGTGCAGACAGTCAAAGAAGTCATGGTTAGGTAAAGCCTCAACTCCTTATACCTGGATGGGGAAGCAGGTGGGGTTTAAGGTTAAAGGGAGAGGGGCAGGCAGGCAGAGGGGAGTCAAGGTTTAGGTAAATCGTCACCTCACTAGACCTGGATGGGGAAGCAAGCGGGGTTTAGGGTTGAAGGGAGAGGGGCAGGCGTGCAGAAGAGAGTCAGGGTTTAGGTATTGCCTCACCCCCTGAGACCTGGATGGGGAAGCAAGTGGGGTTTAGGGTTGATGGTAGTGGGGGCAGACAGTCAAAGCAGAAGTCATGGTTAGGTAAAGCCTCAACTCCCTATACCTGGATGGGGAAGAGGGTGGGTTTAAGGTTGAAGGGAGAGGGGCAGGCAGGCAGAGGGGAGTCAGGGTTTAGGTATTGCCTCACCCCCTTAGACCTGGACAGGGACGCAAGTGGGGTTTCGGGTTTAGGGGAGAGGGGCAGGCAGGCAAAAGGGAGTCAGGGTTTAGGTATTGCCTCACCCCCTTAGACCAGGATGGGGAAGCAAGTGGGGTTTAGGGTTGATGGTAGTGGGTGCAGACAGTCAAAGCAGAAGTCATGGTTAGGTAAAGCCTCACCTCCCTATACCTGGATGGGGAAGTAGGCGGGTTTAGGGTTGAAGGGAGAGGGGCAGGCAGGCAGGCAGAAGGGAGTCAAGGTTTAGGTAAAAACCTCACCTCACTAGACCTGGATGGGGAAGCAAGCGGGGTTTAGGCTTGAAGGGAGAGGGGCAAGCAGGCAGAAGGGAGTCAGGGTTTAGGTATTACCTCACCCCCTGAGACCTAGATGGGTTTACAAGTGGGGTTTAGGGTTGATGGTAGTGGGGGCAGACAGTTAAAGCAGAAGTCATGGTTAGGTAAAGCCTCAACTCCCTATACCTGTATGGGGAAGCAGGTGGGTTTAAGGTTGAAGGGAGAGGGGCAGGCTGGCAGAGGGGAGTCAGGGTTTAGGTATTGCCTCACCCCCTTAGACCTGGACAGGGAAGCAAGTGGGGTTTCGGGTTGAGGGGAGAGGGGCAGGCAGGCAGAAGGGAGTCAGGGTTTAGGTATTGCCTCACCCCCTTAGACCTGGACAGGGAAGCAAGTGGGGTTTAGGGTTGATGGTAGTGGGGGCAGACAGTCAAAGCAGAAGTCATGGTTAGGTAAAGCCTCACCTCCCTATACCTGGATGGGGAAGCAGGCGGGTTTAGGGTTGAGGGTAGGAGGGATGGACTGGCACAGCGTGAGTCAGTGTTTAGGAAAAGCTTCAACTCCCTAGTTCTGGTTGGGGAAGCAATTGGGGTTTAGGATCGAGGGGTGAGGGTGCAGACTAGTCGAGTAGGAGTCTAGGAAACGCATACGCAGTGTATCACAGGCAACGCACCTTGAAGCCGACTACGGCTTTGTAGACGATTTCGCGGTGGTTTGCCAGGGGACTATTGCCAGAGGGAAGGCCTTCCGACGAGCTGGTGCTCGGGCCAGAATGGGGAGGTGTTGTTGTAGGCGCTCCGATTGGGAGGGATTGGCCAGCACCCCGACCCATGGCCGACAGCATTTCGGCAAACCTCGCCATCACGCGTCGCTCGAATTGGTCAAGGTTCGCATTTGTTACACCACCACGCTCCCGGCGGCGATCGCCGGATGCTGCCACAAACGGGGTTTTCTTGGCGGGTACGAGATCAAAACGCTTGGTGGCTAGGCTGAGAACCTTCACTGGTGGCGCAGCTCCGGAGTCCTTGGGTGCTGCTGGGAGGAACGTGACAGAAAGGATAGGAGGAACGTGACAGAAGGGATGGGAGTTGGGTGACGGGAGGGATGGGAGATGGGTGACGGGAAGGATGGGAGGAAGGTAGACAGAACGGATGGGCTGATTGGTTTACGGCAGGGATAGGACGAGAGCTGATGGTAGGGATGGGACTGCAGGGATGGGAGGATAGGGTACGGCAAGGATAGGGACAACAGGGATGGGACTACAGAGAAAGGATGGGACAGTGCCTTGGGACATCAACAAACATGCCACAAATAGAAAGGCAACATAATGGCAATAGATGGTAGTTCACTGAAACATGCACCTTAACGAGGCAACGATCTCACCATCGGTTTTGGCGTTGCCCTTCTTAGCGGTCGCTTTAGCCCCACCGCTTGCTTTAGCCTTTACCCCTCTTGCCCCAGCACCTGCTGCCTTTGGAGTTGCCTTTGTTTTGCCCGCAACTTCACCGGTGTTACGCTTTTTTGATGCACCTCCAACCACCAAGGCGGACTCCTCCCGTTTCGTCTTTCCACCAGGGCTACTCTCTTTCGCCACCCCTTTCTTCACCACTTTCTCCACCACTTTCTCCTTACCCTTAGCCATGGCGACACCATGTCTCCCTGGAGGTGGCTTAGCCGGAACCTTAGAGGGTCCTGAACGCGACTGTGCTTTCGCACCCTTTCCAGCGAGCTTCGAGCTGACAACGGGTTCCTGGATCTCATCAAGTGCCTTCAGCTTCCCAAGCAGCAAAGCTCGTTCCTCTGCCACAGCCTCATCCTCCACGGCATCACCTTCACTGTCATCCTGCTCTTCCAGCATCTCGTCAAAGCTTGTTTTTTTCGTGACCTCAGGCTTATGAGCATCCGCGCAGGCATGCACTTCTGCCGTACCGTTTTCCTCATTCCTCTCCACTGCCTCCTCCTCATCCCCCTGCTCATCGTCCGACTCTCCACCCTCCTCGTCCGACGGCTCGTCCCCGGACTCATCTTCCGACTCATTGCCGGACTCCCCACCCTCCTCCTCCTCCGCCTCGCCATCTTCCTCTTCCTCCGCCTCTTCCTCCGCCTCTTCCTCCGCCTCTTCCTCCGCCTCTTCCTCCGCCTTTTCCTCCTCATCTTCCTCCGCATCTTCGTCGGCCTCTTCTTCCGCCTCCTCCTCCGCCTCGTGCGGAGCCTCGTGCTCAGCCTTGTGCTCAGCCTCGTCCTCAGCCTCATCCTCAGCCTCGGCCTCAGCCTCGTCCTCAGCCTCGGCCTCGTCTCCCGACTTGCCGTTGGCCTCTGCCTCGTCCAAATCGTCTCCCTGTCGTTTGTTTCGCGCAACTGTAACAGGTTCAGCGTCTTCTGCGGTAGCATCCGCACCTTCTGCGTACCACACTCTCGCCTTTCGAGGGCGGTTGGACTTGCGAATATTGCCCCCAGGTGGGCCCTTACCGCTAGATGACCTGGATTTCGGCGGACCCACAGTTCCCTTCTTCTTCGTAGTCTGCTTGACCTTGCTGGGAGATCGTGCCGAGATACCTTTGGCAGAGTTTTTCTTCCCAGACTTCGAGACCTGCAGTTTAGTCGACATTATGCAGACAGGGCCAGAGAAAATCGGAAAATGCTGGGAAAATCTAGCGTAACAAAGTATATCGGTTTGCACTGTGGATTGGTAAGTGATACTAGTGTCGAAACATGTCTTCTTAAACATTCAGGAGATGCAGAAATGAGCCATCATTTAGGAACCGAAAACGTACAGCGTGTTTCGGTCGCGGTCACTTGACGGGTCGGGTACGGGCGCTTTCTACGCGACCCGCTTATAACGATTTGGTATGGACTTTCAACCGGCACGGCTTGACTCCCGGAAAGAAACTGGACGTGGGTGATACTAGGGAGGCCCCAGAATCTACTATGTTCGCAGAGGGTAAGGCAGTACGTGGCGCTATGATACGTGCCATTCTGAGAGGCCGTGAAAAACAGACGGAACAGGATATCGTGGAAGCGCGAGGTCGATTATGTTTGCATAGGAGAGTCGCGTGGGTCGCGGTTCGACCATGTCAGAGGTAAGTCGCTGGGAAAAGCAAAGGAAAAACTGTCTTGCGGTGCCGAAGGAAAGACGCCCTCGTGAAGGTGTTGGTCTTTCAGCGTCGTGACTGCTATCGCGAACGGTAGCACAGGACCAGAGAGTCATAAGAGACGATGGTGGCAGAGGAACTGCTAGGCGTGACCGTGGGCTGGGGTTCGAGGCGGTTGATGATAATGTTGGTTTGATACAGTACAAAACGACGACAGTGGCCAGCACCACATGGCAGAATTGTGGTTTGCGTGGCAGCTTTGTGCTTTGTGTGGCAGGGCAGCTCTGTAGTTTTCATGGCAGCTTTGTGGGTGCGTGACAATGTGGCAGTACAGTGCAGAACAGTAAAGTTCCGAACTGACCCTAGGAGCAGTGGTAGGAAGGTAGAACTAATTCTCGTCGCATCCCGTCACTTAGCCTGCAATCGGCAATCGGCGCACCTGGAGATGACCCTTTGGTAAACCGGAAACTTGTGAGCAGAAAAAACTTTTCCCGAGAACGTTGGGATGTTTCTCTACTTACTAAATGCCAAATGCGTTCTAGTTGCTGGTTTTTCTAAAACAGCTGTTGGATTTGTCTGAAAGATTGTTCCCAAAAGATTGAAAACTCAAGCACACGAAGCCGGCTTTGCAGTCCCACCGCAGTTCTCACCGTCTCTTAGCCTGCAACGTGTGTCTTCGTTTTGCGGCCGCTGAAGGCGCTGGCTCACTACTAAAACGTCGCTCAGTACACGCGTTTGCTTTTAACAGAAGAAATTATCCTGCCCCCTATATTTTGGTGCGTTTCAAGTGGCCACGTGGCAACCAGATGTCAAAGGCCTCGATACGACCAACAGAAATAACCCCTTGCCCAGCGATCCAAAAATTGCAGCCAGAATCTGCTCGGATTCTGATTCGGCTCTGCACAATGGCCACTAGCTGCATTTCAACGGGTTCTCTTAGACAGTTCGGGACCCATCCAAATTTGATAGTACACATGCTATATTTGCATTCACAAGATCTGTTGAATACTTGCGAGTTTTGATTGTAATTGACAGTGTCAATATGCCAATCACGTCCCAACAGGTGATTCTCATCAAGGAGCAACCGTTCATCCATTTACATGCTACATAGAGTCTAGCAAGTTGAAATGATACTGTGGAAGCTCTTGGGGCGAGGAATCTTGTTGTTGACTAGATTCAGTATAAAGCCTAAACTCTCTAAGCATCCTAGTATTTGTTGGAAACAATCGGTCCTAAGCGCCTCTCTCATGTTGCAACACTAAGGCACAAACGAAGCGAAGCTTATCGAGGCACCGGCGAGTCAACCCTCGGAGGTTGAAGCAACCGTTGGAGGTTACGCGAAAGTCAAAGGTCAGCGACCTTCAACCTGACAAATGCAGTGCGACAGCAAGGACACACAACTGACTCGACACTGAGCAGTTGCCCGAGTCCCACTGTATTTGTAACCGCAACAGTAAAACAGTTTGATTATATCTCTTCGTATTCCTTGTACTCTTATATAAACCTTTGTACTTGCTTGTTTTAATCAGCGTAAACCAAAGTCGGTTAATGGCACAGCTGACGCCTTCGTCACGGTTGTCATCAACGGCCTTGGTCCTCACTGGCGCTCCACTCGCGCCATACTACGAGCCCACGGGAAAATTTCTGAAGCAGCACTTTGCGCCGAAATCCACGCCGAGCAACAACACATGAACCTGCAAGAAGAACGACACAAGAGAAAAGTATCAGTGCCCGAATTCGCGTTTCACACTCAACGGCGCCACAACAACAACAATCGACTGAAAATCTTACCTCCGTTCTGCCACCTCTGCAAGACTTCAGGGCATCCTCGTACGCACTGCCCGAATCGACAATAGTCAACGTTGCCGCAACGCCAACTTCGCCCTTCAAGCAGTCAAGTCGCCTCAACGCAAGCAAACCCGACAACTTCAGTGCAAGTCTCAACAACATCAACGGGACAACCTGCGAAAGGAACAAGAAACATCGTCAGCTGCATGGCAAGGCTGAGTGACTCTTGCGTAACTGAGTCACCACCATATAACTCACCAAATTTCTTACCAGATCCAGAAGCGGGAGATGAAGCAGCTTGTCCCTAGGATGCAACTCTTCCCCGCTACTCACAGACCGGACTGCAGATTCTCGGACTCGTCACCGCACTCAATGGCACCGCCACTCCTAAAGAGCCCGCTGAACGGTGTCCCCATTTTCAGCTACTGCGGAGCACTCTAGGTTGGTTGTTTGGAAGATGAGCTAGTTTAGTTGATTTTTATGCGATTTCCGCCGCCTTTTGGGGCAAGGCACGATTACCTTCCGGCCACATATTGGATTGAGCTGATTCTTTGTGTGGTGACTCTAAGTAGTGCTGTGGACCTTCCATCCAATTTTCAGGTCCTGCGGAGCACTCTAGGTTGGTTGTTTGGAAGATGAGCTAGTTTAGTTGACTTTTATGCGATTTCCGCTGCCTTTTGGGGCAAGGCACGATTACCTACCAGCCAAAGATTGGATTGAGCTGATTCTTTGTAAGGTGACTCTAGTTATTTCTATGAACCTCTCATCCCATTCTCATCTCCTGCGGATCACCCTAGGTTGGTTGTTTGGAAGATAAGCAAGTTTAGCTGATTTTGCTGCGATTTCCGCTGCCTTATGGGGCAAGGCATGATTACCTGACGGCCACATATTGGATCGAGCTGATTCTTTGTGTGGTGACTCTAAGTAGTGCTGTGGACCGGTGTCCCCATTTTCAGCTCCTGCGGAGCACTCTAGGTTGGTTGTTTGGAAGATGAGCTAGTTTAGTTGATTTTTATGCGATTTCCGCCGCCTTTTGGGGCAAGGCACGATTACCTGCCAGCCACATATTGGATTGAGCTGATTCTTTGTGCGGTGACTCTAAGTAGTGCTGTAGACCTTCCATCCAATTTTCAGGTCCTGCGGAGCACTCTAGGTTGGTTGTTTGGAAGATGAGCTAGTTTAGTTGACTCTTATGCGATTTCCGCTGCCTTTTGGGGCAAGGCACGATTACCTACCAGCCAAAGATTGGATTGAGCTGATTCTTTGTATGGTGACTCTAGTTAGTTCTATGAACCTTTCATCCCATTCTCAGCTCCTGCGGATCACCCTAGGTTGGTTGTTTGGGAGATGAGCTAGTTTAGCTGATTTTGCTACGATTTCCACTGCCTTATGGGGCAAAGCATGATTACATATTGGATCGAGCTGATTCTTTGTGTGGTGACTCTAAGAAGTGCTGTGGACCGGTGTCCCCATTTTCAGCTCCTGCGGAGCACTCTAGGTTGGTTGTTTGGAAGATGAGCTACTTTAGTTGAATTTTATGCGATTTCCGCTGCCTCTTGGGGCAAGGCACGATTACATGCCAGCCACATATTTGATCGTAGGTTCAGTTAATATTTTTGTTCAATTCTATAAATGGCACATTTTGTTATTCATACGTCTTATCACTTATGTGCACACCAGGGTTCGTATACAGTGTTGTGTCTAAAACGTGAATAGCATTGCATTTGACTTTCGAGAGTTTGAACTCGAGGTATGAGGCACAGGGAATCAGGCACTGCACGTACACACCAACCCTATCATGAAGGCTGAAAACCTAATTTCATCAAGGTTCCCGATCCGCCTCATTGCGATTCGTGTATTGCATCTCATATCGTGCCCCCAGGTCGCGCCGTCAGCGACTCGTCGTAATCACATGGCTGTCACGCCTCTAGCTAGCTCGCACTGTAGCGTTATTCCCCGTCACGATGTCCATCCGCTACCTTATACTGAATGGCCTTCTCGCTATTCATCGACTCTTTGTAGCGGGTGCGTATTTAAACGCCACGACGATATGCAGAGGCAAAGGAACGACGGACTAATGTCGCGCTGCCATGGATCGTTCTAGTCCTGTTCGGTGTGCACACTGTGAACGAGAGTTTTCAGACTGTTTCGCGCTAGGAAGGCACCGGGCTGGCAACACACCCTGCAACCCCAACTCTGCAGAGCATCGCGCAGGCAGTGGTCCTACGCGTCCTAACATAGCCTACATTCTGTCTGCATCGCTCCTGCGCTTCGTCAGACATGGCAGTTCCGCGCCTCAAGATGCATCTCAGGAGACACTGCCAACCTCGTCTAGTGGCGTGGGCTGTGAGACTCGTGTTGATCTTGAGGGATCTTCTCCACATCCCTCAACGCCCCAGTCGTCCAGCCAAGGGGCGGAGAAGCCCCCAACCACATGTCCAGATAATCCTGGATCCGATTCTGCTGCCAGGCCTTCGTTTCCCGATGGCAGCGACATCCATCCCGCTTTGATATACCTGTTAGAGCAACTCGATTCGCTGAATGGCGGCATGGGCTTATCGAACATGGATACTAACAAGGTGCTGCAGCTAATTACCCATCCAGAGTTGGCCCCGCTGCTGGTAGAGGGGAATGTCCGTAGCTTCCGGGATGTGGAGAGGCTACACAAGGAATATCTGGCTAACACGGGATGTGGATTCGAGTCGACCACATTTTATGTGGAGGGCTTTCCACCGCAAGTGATGCTTCACCGCGATCCACTGAGGGTGAGTTTGCTGACGTAGTTTCGGGTACCCAGGATGAAACTGAAGGGCATTGGCTTGACAGTATGTCCTGGCGGCATCATGCGTCACTCTCATACTGTGTAGGGTGCTAACCGGCCTGTGTACGTGCTGTATATGATATTGCAGGCCCTGGCGGATATGTTTCGGCACAAGCACAATGCGCCTGGCTTCAGAATGGGACCGAGGAGAGACAAGGACACCGAGAGAGGGCATCGGGCATATTCCACTGCAGAAACTGGCACATGGTGGCAAGAAGCATAGGTGAGTGCTATTGATAGCTAATTGCAGTTGCGAGAGAAGGTGAGTGATGAGAGGGGAGGTGCAGAGATTGTGAGTGATGGGACGGGAGGTGCAGAGATTGTGAGTGCAAGGTGATGGGTAGTTTACACTCCCCTCACATCACTCACACCTTGCATATGTTCCGAACCTACCACTCACCATGCATGGTCCCGGCTTTCAGCTGGTGTGCCCTTTTCGAGTCAGCAATGTTAACTGCCCAGAGACATTGCCTTTCCCCTCGACCCAATCTATCCATTCTTTGCGTTATGTGCAGGAATTCATTGGCATGGACAAGATTGTTGCGGCGCTGATACTGTACAGTGATGTCACGCACTTGAGCAACAACGGAAGGAAGAAGGCGCACCCGGTCATGATGACACTTGGGAATATTGCGTTCCCAAAACGCTGGGGGCGGCCTGGGCACTCCCTGCTGGCGGTGTTACCCATCCCACCCTCGAATATGTCGTCGCACTTGAAGGTGGAGCTCTACAACGCGTGTATTGCTAAGCTACTTGAGCCACTCATCCGCCTTAAAGACAAGTGAGTGGTGCAAATGCTGGTGTTTATCGAAACTTTATCTATTTGGTGAGTCATGCCCCATAAAAGGAGTGCGGCACTTGGAAGTAATGAATATTGTTAACCTGCATGTGTTTTCTCCCTGTGTCATGGCTGCCCGAAAACTGTGCAGTGGTGTCATGCTGCTGGACTCAGAAGGCATCGAGCGATGGGTCGTTCCTTTGCTTTACGCTTGGGCTTGTGACTATCCCGAGTCCGGGAAACTGACACGCACCAAATCTGGCCAGGGCTACTTGAAGCCGTGCAGCCTCTGCTATGTTGACAGGGTACGTCAACATGTACACTCTGGGTGGGGATGTGCTGGGATGGGAGGTGCTGGGATGGGGATGGTGAGTGATAGTATGGTGAGCGATGGGATGGTTAGTGCTGGGATGGTGAGTAATAGTATGGTGAGTGATGGGATGGTTAGGGCTGGGATGGTGAGTGCTGGGATGGTGAGTGATGGGATGGTGAGTGCTGGGATGGTGAGGGATGGGATGGTTAGTGCCCGGATGGTGAGTGCTGGGATGGTGAGTGCTGGGATGGTGAGTGCCCGTATGGTGAGTGCTGGGATGGTGAGTGATAGTATGGTGAGTGATGGGATGGTGAGTGCTGGGATGGTGAGTGCTGGGATGGTGAGTGCTGCGATGGTGAGTGATCGTATGGTGAGTGATGGGATGGTTGGTGCTGTGATGGTGAGTGCTGGGATGGTGAGTGATAGTATGGTGAGTGATGGGATGGTTAGGGCTGGGATGGTGAGTGCTGGGATGGTGAGTGATGGGATGGTTAGTGCTGGGATGGTGAGTGCTGGGATGGTGAGGGATGGGATGGTGAGTGCCCGGATGGTGAGTGCTGGGATGGTGAGTGCTGGGATGGTGAGTGCTGGGATGGTGAGTGATGGGATGGTGAGTGCTGGGATGGTGAGTGATGGGATGGTGAGTGCTGGGATGGTGAGTGATGGGATGGTTAGTGCTGGGATGGTGAGTGCTGGGATGGTGAGTGCTGGGATGGTGAGTGCTGGGATGGTGAGTGCTGGGATGGTGAGGGATGGGATGGTTAGTGCTGGGATGGTGAGTGCCCGGATGGTGAGTGCTGGGATGGTGAGTGATGGGATGGTGAGTGCTGGGATGGTGAGTGATGGGATGGTGAGTGCTGGGATGGTGAGTGCTGGGATGGTGAGTGCTGGGATGGTGAGTGATGGGATGGTTAGTGCTGGGATGGTGAGTGATGGGATGGTGAGTTCTGGGATGGTGAGTGCTGGGATGGTGAGTGCTGGGATGGTGAGTGCTGGGATGGTGAGTGATGGGATGGTGAGTTCTGGGATGGTGAGTGCTGGGATGGTGAGTGCTGGGATGGTGAGTGATAGTATGGTGAGTGATGGGATGGTGAGTGCTGGGATGGTGAGTGATGGGATGGTGAGTGCTGGGATGGTGAGTGCTGGGATGGTGAGGGATGGGATGGTTAGTGCTGGGATGGTGATTGCCCGGATGGTGAGTGCTGGGATGGTGAGTGATGGGATGGTTAGTGCTGGGATGGTGAGTGCTGGGATGGTGAGTGCTGGGATGGTGAGGGATGGGATGGTTAGTGCTGGGATGGTGAGTGCCCGGATGGTGAGTGCTGGGATGGTGAGTGATGGGATGGTGAGTGCTGGGATGGTGAGTGATGGGATGGTGAGTGCTGGGATGGTGAGTGCTGGGATGGTGAGTGCTGGGATGGTGAGTGATGGGATGGTTAGTGCTGGGATGGTGAGTGATGGGATGGTGAGTTCTGGGATGGTGAGTGATAGTATGGTGAGTGATGGGATGGTGAGTGATGGGATGGTGAGTGCTGGGATGGTGAGTGATAGTATGGTGAGTGATGGGATGGTGAGTGCTGGGATGGTGAGTGATGGGATGGTGAGTGCTGGGATGGTTAGTGCTGGGATGGTGAGTGCTGGGATGGTGAGTGATGGGATGGTTAGTGCTGGGATGGTGAGTGATGGGATGGTGAGTGCTGGGATGGTGAGTGATAGTATGGTGAGTGATGGGATGGTGAGTGCTGGGATGGTGAGTGATGGGATGGTGAGTTCTGGGATGGTGAGTGCTGGGATGGTGAGTGCTGGGATGGTGAGTGATAGTATGGTGAGTGATGGGAGGGTGAGTGCTGGGATGGTGAGTGATGGGATGGTGAGTGCTGGGATGGTTAGTGCTGGGATGGTGAGTGCTGGGATGGTGAGTGATGGGATGGTTAGTGCTGGGATGGTGAGTGATGGGATGGTGAGTGCTGGGATGGTGAGTGATAGTATGGTGAGTGATGGGATGGTGAGTGCTGGGATGGTGAGTGATGGGATGGTTAGTGCTGGGATGGTTAGTGCTGGGATGGTGAGTGCTGGGATGGTGAGTGATGGGATGGTTAGTGCTGGGATGGTCAGTGCTGGGATGGTGAGTGATGGGATGGTTAGTGCTGGGATGGTGAGTGCTGGGATGGTGAGTGATGGGATGGTGAGTGCTGGGATGGTGAGTGATATTATGGTGAGTGATGGGATGGTTAGTTGGGGGATGGTGAGTGATAGTATGGTGAGTGATGGGATGGTTAGTGCTGGGATGGTGAGTGCTGGGATGGTGAGGGATGGGATGGTTAGTGCTGGGATGGTGAGTGCCCGGATGGTGAGTGATGGGATGGTGAGTGCTGGGATGGTGAGTGCTGGGATGGTGAGTGATGGGATGGTTAGTGCTGGGATGGTGAGTGACGGATGGTGAGTGCTGGGATGGTGAGTGTTGGGATGGTGAGTGCCCGGATGGGGAGGGAGGGAGGTGCTGTGGTGGGGAGAAGTAGGGCTGGGAAGTTCTGGGATCAGGAGTGCAAGCCTCGAACCCTATGCGATGTCGACCGGGCATATAATCATGCCCCATCCGCAATGTTGGCTGTGAACATTTCATCTCTGTATATGTGTGTGTCTAACGGTCTCTCTTGCTCGTCCCCTTTATGCTAAAAATTCCAACGCCCACCACAGGAAAGCCTGTTATCTGTGGAGCTACCCAACAACGTTCGCACACCCGCACAACAGCAGTGGGTTAGAGATGAGGCAGCTGGAGTCCCTGCCGGAGCGGATGACAATCCGCTGAAGCTGTACTCAACGTTCGACATCGATGTAAGTATTTGATCCCATGCCAGCTGGAGTCGCCCAGTAGGCTTATAGACACAGCAACCTCTGGTGTCTATTGGTGTCGTGTGTTTCCCTAACCATCGCATTCCCTGCTGCGCTGTACCACCTGCACAGTGTGCTTTATGGAAGTGGCAGGTTGGTTCATTGCCGTGGGGAAATCCAATCCTAGCTGTCATGGCGGACATCATGCACCAGGCAGACCTGGGGATGCTGGACCACATCGTGCAATGCATCCGCGCCCAACACCCAACGATGATGAAAATTCTGGATTTGTGAGTGCCCCTTGGACCACCCGCCTGGACATGCACGATGCTCTATTCAATAAACCATGGTTACAATGTTGGCATGTCAAGCCCACATTTGTGAGCACATGGTAGTGTGTCAGCTCAACTTTATTCCATCCTGATCTGCCGCCCCCCATATCCGAAATCTTTCCATCCCACCATACATAGGCGTCTTCTACGGCTCACCCTGAAAACACGGATAAACTCTTTGCGTTTTCCGAAGAGCGAATACTTCAAAACCGCGGCACAAGTCGCAGCTTTTGAACATCGATCGGTCATGCAGGTATGATGCTTTGAGGCCTAAACCATGGAGTGGTGGAAGGGGGAGGGTGGGAAGAGTGGGGCGAGCTGGGCAGGGACGGAAGAGGAAGGGGAGAGAAGATGGGCTGGTGGAGAGGGCACTGCTATGTTGGTTCATGCAAATGTAGTGATGTGTCGGTCTGTTGTCAAGCTCGTCTGTAAACTCGCTTGAAGTCATTCATGGGAAGAAGATCCTTCAATCTTTTCTCTCACCTTTCCTACTCACCATGCTGCATGCATCCAGGTGTTGATCTTTTTGGTGGCTGACGTTGTCGGCTCGCCCCAGCTGGAGGCCATCAGAGCATACCTTGACTGGTATCTCTGCTGCAACGCCGCCTCTCACACCGAGAGAAGTTTTTCCGAAATACAAGCCAAATCAAAAAGGTACCTCACCAAACGATACAACCTAAACCATCTAACTCCCCTAGCGATTCCATCCCTAACACATTGAACGCTTATCCATATACTCCTTCATTTATTCATGCTCCCACCCACCCCAGGCTAGTGAAACTACTCACGACTGCCTTCCCCGAGCAGAAATCAAAGTGGAACACACTTGATGACTCATTTCATCCCTGGAATTCGACGAGCTGGGAATGTGCAAGAGTACAGCACCAACCTCTTCGAACACCTGCATAGCACCCTGCTGAAGCAAATCTACAGGAGATCGAATAAGCGGAAAGTGGACACGCAGATCATGAAGCACCACGAGACGAAGCTTGACTCCATCAGCAACGTGGCCACCGACCAAGGCGTACAAACGGCTATGCAAAAGGTAGGTTCTGTGAGAGGAGGTGCTGAGATGGTGAGTGCCGTGATGGGAGGGTGAGTGCTGAGATGGTGAGTGCGGTGATGGGAGGGTGAGTGCTGAGATGGTGAGTGCAGTGATGGGAGGGTGAGTGCTGAGATGGTGAGTGAGGTGATGGGAGGGTGAGTGCTGAGATGGTGAGTGCGGTGATGGGAGGGTGAGTGCTGAGATGGTGAGTGCGGTGATGGGAGGGTGAGTGCTGAGATGGTGAGTGCGGTGATGGGAGGGTGAGTGCTGAGATGGTGAGTGCGGTGATGGGAGGGTGAGTACTGAGATGGTGAGTGCAGTGATGGGAGGGTGAGTGCTGAGATGGTGAGTGCGGTGATGGGAGGGTGAGTGCTGAGATGGTGAGTGCGGTGATGGGAGGGTGAGTGCAGAGAAGGTGAGTGCGGTGATGGGAGGGTGAGTGCTGAGATGGTGAGTGCGGTGATGGGAGGGTGAGTGCTGAGATGGTGAGTGCGGTGATGGGAGGGTGAGTGCTGAGATGGTGAGTGCGGTGATGGGAGGGTGAGTGCTGAGATGGTGAGTGCGATGATGGGAGGGTGAGTGCTGAGATGGTGAGTGCGGTGATGGGAGGGTGAGTGCTGAGATGGTGAGTGCGGTGATGGGAGGGTGAGTGCTGAGATGGTGAGTGCGGTGATGGGAGGGTGAGTGCAGAGAAGGTGAGTGCGGTGTGTAGGAGTGCCTGGCGGGACAGCTCGGGCTGAGCGGCAAGGAAAGTTTGCCGGCAGGTCCTTGGTGGGTAGCAGGGGAAGAGTTAGCTCAAGGCAGGAGAGGGGGCAGTGAAATGAGGAAGTGCAGGGCAAGGAGTGGAGCAGGGGAAGGGGGAGAGTGGTGTGCTCGTTGCTGCTGGTTGCTGCGACTCAGAGATTTGTTTCCAATCTCTGCCTTTTCTGACACGTGTCAGGCCATCGAGGATGGAGCTTGGGTGATGGTGAAGGAGTCCTACTTCTTCCCCGTGAAACCCGATGACGTCACTCCCATTGCCAACTGGTTTGTCCGTGAGTGGGCGAAGCTCCACAGCAAGGCACACCATGCCTTTGCGGGTGCATTGCTTCGACGCCAGTTGAGGCCAACAAAAGTTCGTGTAAGTGGTGACAATGGTGACATCAAGCAGATACCATAGGTAACTGAATGTTATTTGTACTGATTTGTGTCTCTTACTGGTTGCAGGCTCACACAACACTTGTCATCCCTGCTTCAGAAGATTCTAGTTTCGCCCGTGTAGCACATTTCGTGAAAGCAACCCCACTGTCTCACTCTAGGCCGTGGTTCTCTGATGTTGCCATCGTGGGAACAACGACGACTGGTGCAGAGACAGAGTGGTACGGAAGGCTCTTTTTGCTGTTCCATACAAAAGAGAGGGGGTGCACGAAGGAGTGGGCATATGTAAAGTACTGGTCAAGCGTTGGTGATGATGCAAAAACAGGGTGCAAACGTCTTAGGTGGGCAACTGGGGTATCGCGCTACTCAGTGATTGACACTGAAAGCATACTGCGCCAGGTGCACATTATCAAGTCTTACCACAGCGACAATGCATTCTATCTTAACAAGTACCTGCTAAATTAGAAATAAATCATAAGCGCATCTGTACTTTTTTCATAGACAACCAAACTGGTTTTGTAATAAGAGGCAAGATTACATGCAATAACAACTTATGACTTTACAGGTTATATATTTACATGCACATGTGATTGTTTAACCAGCAGCCTTTCAATATTATAAGACATAATAATGACTTCATGTAAGTTTTGTTTAAAATAAGCACTGTAGGCTTTTCTTGGTCCATAATTACTCCTATCCGAAACCAATTTTGCAGGGCCCAAACGCGCCCTATCGCCACGTCTGGTCGTGCGCCAAGCAGGCTGTGGCTCGGTGACCCAGAAATGTTTGCGGGAAAACGCACCCCATTCTCGAAACTGCTATTTCAACCTGGTCAAAAGAGCACTGTACACCTGACATTGGCCAAAATTCGGCCAATTTCGCTTCGCCGAGGCGCACAATGTCTCGCGAGTCGGTTCGGATGCGCAAAAGCAGATCGAAATTTGAGAACGACACATTTTCGCTGGTGGTTGGGCGAAAAAAGTTGGACAACCCACACAACCCAACTTCCGAAACCAATTCGACCCGTTTCCAAGCGATTCAAAAGCGAGGGGTTTTTGTGATGCCATGAGATTTGTGGTTGTAGACGACCTGTTCGAGCTTCACCTGGAAGGTCAGGGGGTTGGACTTTGGGGTTATTCCACGAAAATCACTTCTTTCTGGAGTCCAAAAAACTGATTGTACTCGCAGTGGGCTCAATTCAAGGTTCGTTTGTTTGTTTTCCAACCGCAAACCTGGAACATTGAAAGTGCATCCCACCTGCTGCGCTCGTAGATGCCGCGCGCCAGCCTGGTCGTCCTTAAGGGCGGGTCCAACTCATCACAGCTCAGGTCAATATTAGCCTCTGTAACCTTTTTCTGTAGGGTAACCGCGTCAAATCATGAGACTAGCCGAGATGACGCGCTCGGTTTTCCGCCAGGCAAAACGAGTTTCGTGCCACAACACATTTCAAACTCGAAAGTTTTCCGAAAATATTAGGGAACTGGTAAGCAAGAGCAAATCAAACTTTCTCACACACACATCCCAGTAACAGAGTGTATTCGTGTTTGCGAACTGTATTAGTTTCGTCAGACGGTAACCTGTCTCGCAGCAGTTCCAGTTCCTAGGGTGTCTTCCCACAAAAACCCTTGACGAAGTCTGCCGATTGCACGCATGATTTTTACCCATCAACTTCTGTTCATACGGGAGGGATGTTGTGTCTGTGTTGATGGTACACCAGTTCGTTTGAGCAGGTGCTGTGCCCGCCTGGGGTCAACATGACGCTGCACGTGTGTAGGTTCGAATTGGGTGTTTGTTATCCGGACAGTCAACATTCTGTTACAGGGGTGTTATTCCCCGAAACGAAACGAGTTGGACCCGCCCTAAGTGAAAGTACATGATTCACACAGGATGCACATTGTAACATTATGAAAAATATAACCGACATACCTCCGTGCTGACGGTGATCTTAGACCCGTCGGACGCCTGCGAGTAGTATTTCGAAGTCGTCGCCCACCAGTTGCTCACTTTCGGATCCCCGGCTCCCCCCTGCGCTTCGGAGATTCCTAGGCTCACCGACCGTATGAAGTTCTCAATCACATCCTGCCCGATTCCCGCAGGCCAGAAGCCATAGTAGATTAAGTACACATTCAGTGTTTCGCCGCTCATCACGGGACCGCCGTGGTATTCAATGGGAGTGGACGACGACGCTGCGGCGGCGCCCACTTGTTCGCGCCGTTCCTCCGAGAAGTCCTCGCGTCGCTCATTGTCGAAGACGGGTTTGGTTTCGAGCATGCGCAGCGGAGGCTGAGAGCCGAGATATACAACGTCGGTCAGTTTTCGCGCACGGTTGCGGCGCAACTGTCGCTGACCAATGTATGCGTTGTGAGTCGGCTGTAGCGTGCGACCGATGCGCAACGGCCCGGCGGAGAATGCAGGGGGAACCATCGAGAGGCAGACGAGCATAACAGATACAGCGAGAAGCAGGGGATTAAAGTCTTTTGCCATGCTGGGGAACGGCAAAGATTTGTCGCTGAGAGGTGGAAAGTCAAATTATTCGATTTCTGTCAGCATGATTATGTATTTGACTGAATGAGATGAGCGTTGCTGCGCCACGATAAGCCCACTGTGGGTGTCCCGTTGCGTCACGTCTATAGTGTTGAGTTGAGAGAGGAATGAAATGGGAAAGATTGGGTACAAATACAACCCTAGAAACCTGTACCCCATATGTGCTACCCCAGTATAGCCTACAGCAACTATGTCATATACATCTGACACACCCCCATAGGCAAAGTGGGGGAGAACAAGGGGTCACAAGACCAGTCAAGCAAAGCTCAGGGTGGATCACAAAGTCACCACACAGTCCGAGCACAAGGTCAAGGCCACAAGGCCAGTTCACATGCAGCAGAGCATATATATATAACAGTGCTAAACAAGCAAGAGCAAGGATATATATATGCAGCAGTACAAGCAAGGTCAAGAGGTAAGCAAGTGAGGCCCAGTGGGCACAAGACCTAGCAGAGTGCAAAAGCGCTGATGGTCACGAGGCGGAAGTGCCTTGGTGAACACATCAGCAGTGTTGGCCTCAGTGGCCACGAAACGCAGGCGAAGCTGACCACGCTGCTGCAGCTCTCGAGCAAGGAAGTAGCGCAGAGCAATGTGCTTCGTCCTGTGCTCCAGTCTGTGCTCCTGACACAAGGCAATGGTTGCCTTGTTGTCGACGTACAGCACTGGAGGAGAACGAGGCCGCTCTCCAAGGTCAGTCAGCAGGTAGGTGAGCCAGCGTAGCTCCTGGGCAGCCATGGCCGTGGCGTAGATCTCAGCCTCACAACTGGAGCTGAGAACCGAAGAAGAGCGAGTAGAGCGCCAAGAGACAGAGCCAGAGCCAAGACTGAAGGTGTAACCCTGAGACGACCTCTGAGTAGCCTGGTCGTCAGCCCAAGAAGCGTCTGAGTGCCCAGTGAGCACAGGCCGCTCACGCCCTCCAAGCACTAGCCCCATGCCCGACGTACTGCACAAGTAGCGCAACACCCTCTTAGCTGCATCCATGTGCTCCTTCCGGTGACGGCCGGGAGCGACATAGCGTGCTAAGATGCTCAGAGGGTATGCGAGGTCAGGTCGAGTGCAGGTCATCAGGTACATGAGGCAGCCCACAAGCTCTGGATACGGACCACTCGACTCTACGGACTCATCCGAAGGCAGAGCTGAGAGCGAGTGTCCCGTAGGCAGAGGAGTGGACTGAGGCGAGGAGTACGTGAAGCCGAAGCGCTGAAGGACCTGCTGCACCATGTGTGACTGAGTCAGGGTAATGGTGCGGCGTGCTCTGTCCCGGGTGATCCGCAAGCCAAGATAGCTTGTCAGTTCACCCAGGTCTGTGCACGTGTGTCTCTTCTGCAGCTCGGACTTCACGTGGGCAAGTGCGGCAGTGTCCGCAGTGGCAAAGACCAAGTCGTCGACGTACACGAGGATCTAGAACGGCGGCAGCGAGGTGTCGGTGCGCAGAAACAGCGACGGGTCAGCAGTAGAAGGAGCAAACCCAAGAGCCGCAAGTGTAGTCCTCATTGTGTCGTGCCACTCGCGCGGGGCCTGGCGGAGACCATAGACTGGCCGCCGGAGGCTCCACTGGGTACCAGGAGGGAACGACCCAGTGAAACCAGGAGGGCGGCGCAGCCAGATCTCCTCGTGCAGGCGGCCCTGCAGGAAAGCAGTGCTGAAGTCAAGAGAGTGTAGCTCGTAGTCACGCTGAGCAGCGACGTGCAGCAGAACCCGAAGAGTGGTCATCTTCGGGGTCGGGGAGAAGGTCTGAAAGAAGTCAACTCCCTGTCGCTGACTGAAGCCACGAGCCACGTAGCGCGCCTTGAAGACAGGCGGAGAACCCAGCGGCCGCTTCACCCTGAAAATCCACATGCTTCTGACAATGTTCGCCCCAGGAGGGGGAACAGCGTCCACGTAGGTGCCTGTGGACTTCCAGGAAGCCATCTCTGCGTCCATGGCTGACTGCCACTGAGAGGAGTAGGGACCGGCCATCGCCTCTGCGTAAGAGCGTGGGGTCGGGATGTCTAGAGCATCCGGGTCTCCCTCAGGGGCAACAAGCATGGACACAAGACGGGGCAAAGCGGCGGCAAAGCACTGGAACTCCTCCTGCCTGTCCTCAAGGACGTCCGTGCCAAGAGCACAGTCACCCCCGACGGACGGAGGACAGGCAGACGCAGACGCAGCAGACGCAGACTCAGCAGACGCAGCAACAAGACTGGCAGCGTAGTCTAAACGACACGCAGCAGCAAAGTCGACCAGCTCCGCAACTAGGGCAGACGCAGCAGCGGACTCAAAGGAAGGGCCAGTGACAAGAGAAGCAAGAAGACGCGTGACAGTAGGACTGGCAGCACGGCGAGAGTCCGACTCCGGGTCGTCAAGAGTAGGAAGAGAGGACTCAGGAGGAGAAGGCAAAGGGGCACGCAGAGGAGCAGTGGACGGACGCAGAGACATCTGGTGCGTGCCAGGGACAGGAGGAGGACGCTGACGCGAACCGCGACCACTAGGGCGAGCAGCTCGGACTGGCGACGCAGGGCGGGACGCAGGCTCACGACGCTCAGCAAGACCTCCAGTAGGACCAGCGTAGGGAGAAGGAGAAGGCAGGGGAGAGGCGGGCTGTAACTGTGACTGCGACGGAACAGGCTGTGGACACTCTACGGGAGGAGAAGGACCAGTGGAAGGCGGGAGACCAAGAACCTGCTGGAGGAGCGGAACGAAGTACGGCCGAGGCCGCGCAGCACCGCCAGAGACAGCAGGGACAGCACCAACACCTCCAGAGGCAGCACCAGCACCAGTAGCAGCTCCAACTCCAGCACCTCCAGCCGAGCCAGAAGTACCCTCAGGAGGACCGACAGTCGTAGTCTCAGCGCCAGCACCCGCAGCAGCTCCAGCTCCAGAGGCACCCCCGGGCCCGGCAGCTCCAGTACTCGCAGTACGAGCACCTCCGGGACCCGTGGTACCAGCCCCCTCGGCAGCAACAGAACCTCCAGCACCCGCAGCACCCCTAGCTCCAGCAGCGCGCCTCCAGCGCCGGGGAAACCACTCACGTAGCTCCAGAGGAGAGAGCGGCTCGCGGCTCGAACCACCAGGAAGAGGAGCAACAGGCAAAGCACTCCCAGACGCAGCACCCCCAGGCTCAGCACCCCTAGGCTCAGCACCCCCAGTCGCAGTACTCCCAGGCTCAGCACCCCCAGGCTCAGCACCCCCAGGCTCAGCACCCCCAGGCTCAGTACCCCCAGTCTCAGCACCCCCAGGCTCAGCACCCCCAGTCGCAGCACCCTCAGGCTCAGCACCCCCAGTCTCAGCACCCCCAGGCTCAGCACCCCGAGGCTCCGCACCCGCAGCAGCACCAGAGTCACCAGTGACCTCAACAGGCTCGACCGCGTCTACCTGAGACACACCTGAAGGGGCAGGACCCTGAGGGGGGAGGGGGTCTACCGGGGGGGGACCTGGGACCAGGAAGAGGGGCGGGGGGGGAAGGGAGGGAGTGCGGTAGGGGAAGAGCCGGTAGAAGGGGACCGACTCGTCGAACGTGACGTCCTGGGAGGACAGAACACGACGAGAGGTGGGGTGGTAAAACTGCCACCCAGGGGCGTCAGGGGGGAAACCCAGGAAGACGCAAGGAGCAGCACGAGGGGACAGCTTGTCCGCAGACAAGTCGCGGACAAACGCCCGAGATCCCCAGACACGGAACGCCGACGCATCGCCAACCTTCCCCGTCCACAGCAGAGCTGGGGAGGTCTCCGGTCTGGAGACCCTGGGCTGAAGGTTGATGTGGTGCGCGGCGTACCTCACCGCAAACGGCCACAGAAAATGGGGGGCAGCCGCATGCACCATGGACGTACGGGCGACATCCATGACAATGCCGATGCGGCGCTCAGCAATCCCATTCTGCTGTGGAGAGTCCAGAAGCGTGAAGGTCTGGCGGATGCCTCGTGCACAACAGTAGGCTCGCAGAAGGCCGGAGGAGAACTCTCCGCCTCTGTCCGAGTGCAGACGCAAAACAGGAAAGTCCGAGCCGAAGCTCCGCCTGAGCTGGAGACGAGCTGCGCGGATCCAGTCGATCAACACCTCAGTGACCTCACCCTTGCTGCGCAAGGGGAAGACCGTGGTGTAACGCGAGTAGTCGTCAACCACCAGCAGGAAGTAGCGCTCGTGACCCTGTCCACGGACACGGGCTGGGCCCCACACGTCCATGTGAAGCGTCTGCATCGGGGCCTCTGTCGGAGGAAAGGGGGAGGAGTGAGGGGTAGCCCGCAGGCGACCCTCGACACAGGGGACACAGGGAGGACCAGGCCCTGGAGGAAGGGGAGGGAGGGACCGAGGAAGACCAGAGACAAGAAGGCGAGAGGCCATGCCCCGGAGACGAGGCAGGGAGGGGTGACCCATCCTGTGGTGCCACAGGAGGGTCTCGTGAGACAGGAGGCGACACGAGTAGGGGGCAGACTCAGGACCAGACCTGGACGCTGCAGCAAACACCTGGCTCGACGCTGCTACCTGACCAGACGCAGGAGGAGGAGACGGAACAGTGAGTGTGTACAGGCTCGACCCCGGCCCACGTGTGAACGTGGTCAAGTGTCGACCCGTGTTCGCGTCCGTGCAGTGGGTATCCCGTCGGCGCGCAGGGGTGAACTGGTCAACCCCTGCATCCTGTAGGTCAGCACCCGCCACCAAGTTCGTAGAGAACGAGGGGAGGTAGAGACCGGACAGGGCGCCGGACGGGACCGCAGGGCACGGCAGGACAGTGGAGTAGCGAGCCAGAA